CTATGGCTTCCTAGAAACTTTGTAGTTGACAAGCGATGATTCAGCTGAATGCTTTGACATTCAGTTTGTCAGTGAAAGCTATTTTAATCATTAAGATACATTTCCCTTCCAAGATTGCAAACTGTTGCTGCTCATACACAACATTCTATAATTTGATTACTGTAGAGAAGAAGAGAAACTGAAGGGTTACTATTACTATCGATTATATTAGGAGCTAAAATTTATGGAATATTTTACTGTGTGTGAGGAGTTGTACTTAGTAATTTACATAGATTGACTCATTTAATCCTCTCAATCATGGGGTCTGACCACCTGAGACTGCATTCTTGTTTTCCACTTACTATTGGTATAACATGCAGCCCTCTCTGTGATATGATTTCCTCATCCACAAAATGCAGTAACAGTACCTAGCTCACAGGATTATTATGAGGATTAAATGAAACACATTATTAACAGTGCTTAAAATAATACCTGCAACACAGTGCATTTTCATAGTGTTAGAGTAATTTTTATTACCATTTTTTAGATGAAATCGACCAGTTCTTCACCAACTGTCTTTCTCGGCATCACTTCTAACTATGTCTCTGTTCCCAAATCCAAAAGTACAGATAACGGAAAATGGAAAATAATTTTTCAGGACAATTTTTCTGTAGACATTTGAACTCCAGCTCCACAGGAGGGTGCACAATTGTGGAAGTATAATACTTTTGCAGTATGAGCCTTTTAAATGTTTTTCCTGTTCTTTCTTTCTTCACTGTAGCCTTTCCCTATTCAGGAAGCTAGACATATGTGCTGAGGAATCCCTATTAAATGGGTTGGAAGTGAAGATTTAGACAGTTTGGCGGACTTAGAGGAGAGAGGTTATTTCTTCCAGGTTTGAATGAGTGGCATAATGGCAGCAAGATAGCAGTTTTGCTGCTACCTTGCTTTCCACAGTTTTCCATGCCCATGTTTGTAAAAGAGCATAAGAAATATGTATCAGATGTTTATGTAGACAACCTCAGCAGCCTAACAGAGTTTCCTGGGCGATGTCATAGAATGAGAGCAGCTGTATGATCCCATGGAAGCTAAACTTCTCATAGTCCTGAGCACCACTACGATGTTTCCTATTGCGGCAGAAACTATGCTGTGTTGTTACTGAACTCCTTCCTTTCTTTTCTGAGCATAAAGCTAAACTGAATATCCTAGCCTCCCCTGTAGTTAGTTGGGTAAGTGAGACTGATTTTTAAAACCTTTATGAACCACTATATACGTTCTCTTCTCTCATCTGCTAGTTAACATATATGAACCAGTTGAAGGACATATGAGTCTAGAAAATGACAAGCGTCCTTTAATTAGGAGTTATTAACCTGGGATATATTTAATGAAATGTAGGAGAACCATGAGCTTGGATTTGGAACAAAAACAATTCTGTATTTTCATCAACTAACTGAAATCTGGCAATTCTTTCCATTTTAAATGTAGGAATTAACATGCAGTAGTATTAATAATACTTGGAACTTTGTCACCAATAAAAATCATAAGTATTTTCATATCACATTATAGATACTTAAGGTATCTTGAATATCATTTATACTCAAATTTACTGTGAAATAATAGTAATTATTAGGCTCACTGCGATTCAATATGCTAACAAAAAGCACATATATTATTAAAACAAAAATATTTTTAAAATAGTCAATAACTGTATATTGATGAAATTGTTTTTCTTTGTAATCTAGTATAACTTTTACATATTTTAAAAACATTTTTCTGTTTCACCAGATTGTCAAAAGGAGCTATAGAAAATTAAGAATCCCTGTTCTAGATAGATCCCTGAATGACTCCATGGAGTTGGGTCATCTTTTCCCCTCCACTCCACATCACCACCACACTGATGACCCACATTGTATATGATGTAAGAAATAAGATTTCACTGGGTTAAGTTACTGAAATTTCAAAATCAATTTTTAGAGCAGTTAGCCTGTGCAGACTAATACTAATATACCCTTTCTACCAAAATGGCAAGAGGCCTCTGGGTGGAAAAGACCCACAAGTGCATCCTGAGGATCAAAGATTGGATGGGGCCATTGAAAATGTCTCCGCAGATAACAACTCAGAAAGAGGGTGAAGCTCAGTCCAGGAAACATTTCCTTCAACTCAGAAACAAAGTTCAAATACAGTACCATAAAGAAACAGTTCAATTATTTTTTAATTTGTATGCTGAAATTTATAACTGTGACACAACAATGAATTTCCTTATTTATTATTTCTCTCTTACTAGAGTGGCAGTTATTTTTGTTTCTCATAGCAGATATTAAGTGCTTTTGAATTAATCAAAGTTTTGTACGTATGTTTTTAAAATACATCTATGGTTTTAAAACAACCTCTGATTAGCTCTGCTCTCAGCTAGAGTTTAACACAAGAGAAGCAACTAACTACAAAGATGAGATCAATACTGTGTAAGTCCTTCTATGGAGAATATGAAAGTTGAAATTTTTTTAAAAAGGCCTGTTGATTCAAAGAGTCTTGATAGAGCCCTCCAGAATTTTCAAGATGTAAATTTTTGAGGTGTAAATTTGACAACAATTTTCTCAAGGCATCAAGTTTTGTTTAATTTCATCTTTGCTTTTAGACTGTTCTGCCACCTTTATTTTAACCTTAGACTAAATGAATCAGTCATTCTGAAACTTTCAGGTTATTAAAACCTCCTCTGAGGACAGATTCTAACCACCAAAGATTTACTGTATCTAAATTTTTATAATGTATTGAACTGTAACTGAATAAAAATAAAATGGGGTTGGTGTGCAATTGTTTAGGTTTTGGGATTAAAATGCAAAACAATATAGTCCATTTATGCTTGAATGCTCTATAATATAAACATCAGTCTGTCCTGATCACTGCTGTATACTCAGCTCAAGCCAAATGCCTGACAGAGAAATATTTTTATGAATGAGTAGACTAATCAAATAGCATTTATTAAACTTATATACAGAATATGCCATTCATGACTAGACTTTGCCATAAGAAAGTTGCTGCCTTTCACACATGTAAGGGAAGGTGACTAAATTAAGAAGTTAATGCTTCTAAACTGCCAGTAGCTCACTGACCCTTGAAATTCCTAAGGTGATACAAATTTCTTTGATGGAAGAAATACTGTGGCATTATATTATCACAAGTAAGTTGCTTCTAACATATCAATCTTTTAAAACTTAGTTTCAGGCTGGGCACAGTGGCTCATGCCTGTAACCCCAGGACTTTGGAAGGCTGAGGTAGGTGGATCACCTGAGGTCAGGAGTTCAAGACCAGCCAGGCCAACATGGTGAAACACCGTCTCTACTAAAAGTACAAAATTAACTGGGCATGGTGGCGCATGCCTATAATCCCAGCTACTCGGACACTGAAGAAGAAGAGGAAATCACTTAAACCCAGGAGGCGGAGGTTGCAGTGAGCCGAGGCCGCACCATTGCACTCCAGCCTGAGCGACAAGAGTAAAACTCTGTCTCAAAAAAAAAAAAAAAAAACAGTTTCAGTAGTTTCTTAGTATTCGCATAAGTATGTATTAAGAAGTACAAGAATTGTTTTGGCTCTTTAACTTTTCATGTTAATTTTCACATTTGTAAAAGTAAATGGCATAAGGAACCCTCTAAGTACCCATTTCCCAACCCAACAATTATATATTGCCATTCTTATTTCATTTTACCTCTTCCAATCTTTTTCTTCTTTTTTTGCCAGATTATTTTAAAGAAAATCCTAGGCATCCTAGTATTTCAGCTATAATTATTTCTGTATGTATCTCTAACAGATAAGGACTTTCTAAACATAACAGTACCATTTAGCTCCTCTAATGAAATTATTAATAATTCCTTAATAGAACACAGTCCCTCTTCAAATTTTGCCTGATTATCTCAAAAATGTCTTATACAGGCCGGGCGTGGTGGCTCAAGCCTGTAATCCCAGCACTTTGGGAGGCCGAGGCGGGTGGATCACAAGGTCAAGAGATCGAGACCATCCTGGTCAACATGGTGGAACCCCGTCTCTACTAAAAAACATACAAAAAATTAGCTGGGCATGGTGGCGCGTGCCTGTAATCACAGCTACTCAGGAGGCTGAGGCAGGGGAGGCGGAGGTTGCCGTGAGCCGAGATCACGCCATTGCACTCCAGCCTGGGTAACAGAAGCGAAACTCCATTTCAAAAAAAAAAAAAAAAGTCTTATACATAGTTTGTTTGAAACAGTATCCAAACAATGTCCATAACAGTGAGTTTAATTAATATAACCGTAAAGTTTAATAGAAAATGCTTCCTTTTTTTTGTCAATGCCATTTATTTGTTAAAGAAACCAGGTCATTTGTTCTGTAAAAACCTCTCATTCTGGATTTGGCTGTTTGCATCATGGTACAGTTTAAGTCCCTCTATTTTCTGTAAAATGGTAGTTAGAGCTCATAATTTTCTTTTAGAAAGAATATTTCGTAGGTGGTACTGTGCACTTCATGTTGTATAAGGAGAAACACATTTGTCTCCTTGTTTAGTGATGTTAAGACTGACTATACTGACTTCAAGTGTTATCAGTCTGATTCATCATTGCAAAGTGCTCCAACTTTTACCTAACGCTATTAGCCATTGAGACTCTTGGCTGGATCCATTATTTCATCAATAATTACAAAATGATGATTTTATATTTCTATCATTATTATTAACTGAAATTCCATAAGGCAAAACTGCCTTTCATCAACTACGTGGTTACCCTGAAACACAACTCATGCCTAGAAAACAGCATAAATGCTCGTTTCTTCATTGAAATTAATCTATTTCCAGCATGAGTTGGTATCCTATTAACTACCAATAGTGAGCAATGAGTCTCCCTCAATTCACTCTACACTTCTCCCTAAGGTCACCAAGTGGTTTTTACCATAAAACCTAGCAGGGCTAGAATGGAATAAGATAGGACGGAATTGGGCAGGCCAAGGCAAGAGGCAGGGATTTAGGAGAAGGAGGCACTGCGTCAGGGAAGACAAAATACCTTAAGCATGCTCTAGGAGGTAGAATCTGAGTTTTCTGAGCTGTCCTGGACTTCGGTGCTCTCCACAGACTCGTTAGGTTCTTTGCAGTCACTGCCACTATCTTCGGTAGCTGGGTTCTTCTGCTGACAGGCCTCTTCAGAACCAGAAAGTGTGCAGCCCTGGGTCTCCTGGTTCTCCCTGGAGCCTAGGTCCACATACTCGCCCTTCTTCAGCTCCACTTGTCGTCTCAGCTCATCTGCCATCTGCGAGAGATCCCGCTTCATAGCATAAGCATCTTCCCCATCTGCATAGTATTTAGGTTCCACCTCACTAACCTGAAAGTTAAGGGTGTTAGAATAGAGGTGCAAGGCTGCCCGGTTACTCTTCCTGACATGCAGAGACACATATTTGGCGTTAAAATTCTCTATCATGGCCCTGGAGGCCTGGTCAATCAGCTTCTGGGCCAGGCCGAGGCGCCGGTGTGAACGCTTCACGGCCAGTGAGGTGATATGGCCATGCGGGACATCATCTGGGTCCTCCTCCATTTTGGCCAGGACATAGCCCACAATCTTCCCGTCCTCATCCTCAGCGATGTAAGAAAGCTGGGGCCAGGAAAGGCCATGATATAAATAGTATTTCATCTGGTAGTTCTCAGGAAGGCAAAGGAGGTTGCAGTGCTGCATGTTTATCAGGTCGTCCGGCCGAGCGTTGCGGATGTTCATAATGGCGGCGGGTAGGGAGCCGGTTGGACTGCAGTGAACTCAGAAGAAGCTGTCGCTGACCTCGAGGGACACTGTTTGGCTCAGGGACAGGATCCAGGGTACCAACGACGCCTGGCTGGATCCGGAAGGCGGAATGAGTAGGAGATGGAAAAGACGGGGCTAAACTGCAGCTTCTGGAAGTGCGTCACTGATCCCAGCCAATGAGGTTTCGCTTCATTGTGTGTTGTGCGTGCGCAGAGGGTTAGGGGGTGGGGAGAGAGGATTATCATCTCCTTGGTTTTAAGTAAAGTGATCCATTGCAGATATTATTTTTATTTGTTTCGGTTTTAAAGTTTTGATTCGGGTACATCTGAATAAATTTTCACAAACTTGACAAACCCATATAACAAGAACTTAGAGGAAATAAAAAAAGAACATTGCATCCCAGAACCCCCCTCCTGCCCCCTTCCAGTACCTACTTCCAACATCCGAAGAATAATGATTACCTAGACTTCTAACAGACTTTATGTAAATGGAATCATAGTGCATGCATTCTTTTTGTGTCAGGGTTTTTCACTCTTTGTAAGTTTCAGCTACCTCATGTACAGCTGAGGGTTCTTCATATTCTTCCTTGTTTGATATTGCCTACGTAAGTCACAATTTCTTCATCAATTCCACTCTTACTGGCCATTTTGTAATTTCCATTTGGGAATAGTACCCCTAGGGTAGCTGAGCATTCTACACATGTCTTTAGTTGGAACAAATGCATATTTATCTAGGATTAGAATTACTGGGCCAGTGAATATAATGACGTTCAACTCACTTTTTCAAAGTGGTTACTCCACATTCTCAACAACATTTGGTATTTCCCCGTTGTTTCCTTTTTAGCCATTCTTTTGTAGGGGTAGAGGTATTACACTGTTCTTTTATTTGCGTTGCACTGATGAGTAGTAAAACTGAGCACTTTATATGCTTGTTAATCATACTGTGTCCTCTTTTGTAAGTGGCTGCTCAGATTTTTTGCTCATTTTTCTACTTGTGTGTCTTTTTCACATTAACTTGTGTGTTTTATCAAAAATATATTCTGGATATAAGTCCTTTGTCAGATGTATTTATAATGAATATCATTCTTTTCTATTGGTTGTTTTCCTTTCTTAATGGTGATTTTAGACACCAAGTATGAATTTCAATGTACTTCAATTTGTCTGGTTTTAAAATTTGGTGGTGAATGCTTTTTGTATTCTGTTTAGTAAATCTTTGTCTACTCCATGGTGACTGAGGCATTCTTGTATATTTTCTTCTAAGATCATTTATTTTACATTTTATATTTAGATCTGCAATTCACTGCGATTTAGTTTTGTGTATGCTGGAAAGTATTGGAGGAGCTGATATTCTTTTCCTGTGTGGATATGCAATTCATTTAGCACCATTTTTTTTCACCATTTAGTGAAAAAAAGAATTATCATCCTTTCTTCACATCACTGCATTGTTACCTTTGTTACAAATCCTGTTTTATTTCTAGATGAATTTAAAAATTTTAATGCCATCTTAGCTGGGTGTGGCAGCTTATGCCTGTAATCTCAGCTACTTGGGAGGCTGAGGCAGGATGATCCCTTTAGGCCAGGAGTTTGAGGCTGTAGTGAACTATGATTGCATGACTGCACCCCCGCCTAGATGAGAGAACAAGAAGAATAAGTAAACAACTGTATGCCATCTCAGTAAACCAAGATTTGTAATATTTAATAGGGCAAATAAGTCACATTTTATTAGCACTACTTGCACGGAATTATCTGTACGTCTTGTACAATCTTTCTTCCCAGTTTCGCGGCAGACCTCAGAATCCAAGTACCAAAATGAAATGGGGTATACACTCCTTTAATAGAGCAGTCTAGAATCATGTGATCTCTGAAACATAGCTTGAATAGCCACTATTTTTTGTTGTATTTTGACAATTGGCAGTTTTATTAATATATTTTTAATATTTAACATAAGCATTTTAGCTCCCTGATTTTTTATAGGCTCTATAAATTGGAAAAGTTATTCACCCTTATTATTCCCATTCAGAAATTTCTTTCATGTTATGCCTTACACTATGTACAGGGATATGTAATGTGTAGTGATGTAGCTCTAAAATCATTATCCAGAAGAGTTCATTGTGTTGATTCTTCTATAATAGGTTATTCTTTTAAAAAGCATAGACTACCAAAACTTGAGTGCACTGTATTGTTTGACAGGGTTAATTTAAATGCAGCCAGGTCCATTACAGGTACTATATCCTTCCACAGAATAGTTGCTGGCTTAATTCCCAAGAGTTGGACAACATACTTGACTTATTCCAGAGTAGGCACAGTACCAAAACCAATGGTTAATGAGCATGGTTTTTAATATACAATAATGTGATCTTTATACATATATAATCACAGAGGGAATATGATGACTACTCCTCTGTCATGGAGGAAGGGTCTACCAATTGCAATGACCACAGCAGCTAAGACAAAAAATGCAGCAACTAGTTATATTCTGACAGGCTCTCTTCTTTTTTGACAGAGAAGTTGCCATCATGTATCCTCAGGGTTTGCATATTGTATCCTCAGGGAAAGCAGGGATCTAAGACTAAAAATGCTGACACTTAAGGTGGTGTTGGTAGTAAGTAGTACTTAATTTCGCCCCTCCTCCTAAGGTCCAGTATAAATGTTCTCTGATTAATCATAATATTCCTCTAATTTCTGGACTATAGATCTAGCATGTCTTGTTAGGTTTTGTACGTGGTATGTTTTTATCATAAGTAAAGGACATCAGCAGTTAACATTTTGCAAATATTTAGCAAAAAGTCATCTAATACATAAATGTCTTATAAATGAGAGCTCCTTGGGTTCTAGTCAGGTCTTATTTCATGCCTATAATATTTTATGTGGAAAAAGCTCCCATCTTCTTAACTGGCTTTATATCTCATGCCTATAGAATCTAAGGACAAGACGTATGATTATTTGAGCCTGGTTTCTGCACAAATCTTAATCAAGTTATTTTTTAACCTAATGTTTCTACATCTTATCTGTCTCTCGTATGACTTCTACATACCGCTGAGACTCTAGTGAATGAACAATTTCTATACTCTTCCTTTACAATATAACTTGCAAACTAAATTTTCTTCTTTCCAGTAACAAACATGTTTATTCTAAATATTATAAAGAGATTTTAAATAGCTTTTTATTACCGCCTTCACCTCAGTAATTTTATCAGATTTAGTGTAAGAATATATTATGTACCTGAAAAATATATATATATATAGCATTTCCTAAACACTTTCATTTAAGCAACTTTTCTTCATATGTGTGAATAAACCTATACTTGTGAATGATCCTAACAATGATGGATTAGCTATCCTTTGTGTCTTTACTGGACTTCCTAAAATATAGGCCTGACAAATGGGGAAAATGTAACAAAATAGACCAATTTGGAAGAATTAGCAGCATATCAATTATATATCTGCTATTTTTACTATCATCTCTTTAGTCTTCCTTTCTTCTTCCATGGGCCATAAAAGCAAGGTGAATATTTGTGGGCTCAAACAAATTTGGAAAAAAAAGGCACTCTACTAATCAGTAAGGGTTTTTCTTGTTTGTTTGCTTGATTCTGTTTAATCCTGAGTCTGAGGCCTAATCTTAAAGAAAGGTAAACACAGAATAGTTTTCAGGCTGGGTACAGTGGTTCACACCTGCAGTCCCAGCACTTTGATAGGCCAAGGCAGGAAGATTGCTTGAGCTCAGGAGTTCATGACCAACATGGGCAACATGGCGAGGCCACAGCTCTACAAATATAAAAAAAAAAAAAACAGCCAAGCATAGTGGTGCACACCTATGGTAGCTGAGACCATCAGGAGGCTGATGTAGTAGCATCACTTGAGCCCAGCAGGTGGGGACTGTAGTGAGCCATGATTGCACCACTGCACTCCAGCCTGAGCAACAGAGCAAAACTCTCTCTCAAAGAAAAAAAAGAGAGAGAGAGAGTTTTCAGAGGCAACTGGTTGAACCCAGAAAGAGAAAATGGAAAATGGCCATTACTTTTGCTGCACGGAGAGTCAAACATTTTCATGCTGAAGATGTCTGGAGAGCAACACAGTTTGTAACAGCTATATTATAAAGGAATTGTATAACATATGAAAAGACTATCAATAGATATACAGTTTTAATACCTACTGAAAGGATAAATTCTCATTGTTTTCTCCATTGTCTACAATCATAAACAATACCAAGAGATTATAAATTTAGTCATGTAGATAACAAAATATTTTCTATACTCTCATGTTATTGCATATGCTAAAACAACTTTTTATTCTGATCATGCCACTAACAGGGCATGTCTATATAAACATGAGATCATAATTTTGAAAAAAAAGTTCAGAAGTTAATATTGGGTTTGAATAGTGGGCGGTGATGATAAATCAGTCAGGAAACTTCCCTTCCATTGAAACAGAAGAAGAGGGTGTTTTTAGTATAGGCCAATGGCAAACAGAGAATAATAAACTGTAGTTTGTTAGGCTAGCATTAAAATGTGATTGTGTGTCTTTTTTAATAGGTAGCTATGTAGACAAGAGCAGGGTAAGGAAAAAACCCCCCTTCTCCCCAGAAATGTCAGGTAACCATCAGGTGATAGTCATGTAGTTGTTAAACTGTCTAGCTAAAATAATTGGTTGCAGCTGGCACCAGGGAAAGGCAGGCTCCCAATAAATAGAAAACACCTGAAGCTGGTGATTAGCAGCTTCCCAATAAGATCTCTAGGAGCGGGTGAGCAGGCTCAAGCATGTACACTGAGGGGCAAAATGTAAGAGTTTAACTGATATTTGACCTTCCTCTAGGTATACTGGTAAGGAAAAGATGCCTCAAATGAGCATGTGTACAACTTCAGTAAACACAGTGTGCTGTGGCCCCTCCCAATTGCTGAAAGGCAACTGTGCCTGTGGACAGTCCACTCCAAGGGAAAAATCAAGAGACGATAAACTAAAATCCTGGAACCATGCCAATGTATAAAACCCCAAGTCAAGGGCTGTACAGTGCACTTGGATCTGTAACTACCTAATGGGTTCACCTTGCCTGCTGCCTAGACAGAGCCAATTTATCAAGACAAGGGAATTGCAATAGAGAAACACTAATTCACACAGAGCTAGCTGTGAGGGAGACCAGAGTTTTTATTATTACTCAAATCAATCTCCTCAAGCATTCAGGGATCAGAATTTTTATGGATAATTTGGTGGGTGGGGAGGGCAGCCAGTGAATCAAGAGTGCTGATTAGTTGGGTTGGAGATGAAATCATAGGGAGCTGAAACTGTCCTCTTGTGCTGAGTCAGTTCCTGGGTGGGGGCCACAAGATCAGATGAGCCAGTTTAATCATCTGGGTGGTGCTAGCTGATCCATCCAGTGCAGGGTCTGTAAAATACTCAAGCGCTGATCTTAAAAGCAGTTTAGTTAGGGAGGGTCAGAATCTTGTAATCTCCAGCTGCATGACCTCTCAACCATAATTTCGAATCTTGTGGCTAATTTGCTAGTTCTACAAAGGAAGTCTAGCCCCAGGCAAGAAGGAGGTTTTGTTTTGTTTGTGGTTTTCTTTTGAGGTGGGGGCAGACTGTTACAATCTTTGTTTTAAACTATAGACTACAAACTAAGTTCCTCCCAAAATTAGTTCAGCCTATGCCCAGGAATGAACAAGAACAGCTTGGAGGTTAGAAGCAAGATGGAGCTGATGAGGTCAATTTATTTTACTGTCTTAGTTGTAATTTTGCAATGGTGATTTCAGACCTCTCAAGTCATTCTCTTGGTCCTCTTCCAAGCATACTTTACTTTCTTTCATTTCTGCTCTAAAGCTTTTTATTTTTTTGAGACAGAGTCTTGTTCTGTTGCCCAGGCCATAGTGCAGTGGCATGACCTTGCAACCTCCAACTCCCGAGTTCAAGTGATCTTCCCGCCTCAGCATCTCAAGCATAAAGTTTTTAAATAAACTTTCACTCTGACTCTAACTTGCCCCAGACTCTCACTCTGCCATATGCTCTTCAGCCAAATTCTTTCCTCCAAGAGGGCAAGAATTGAGTTGCTGCAGACCCATACAAATTCAACACTGCTAACATCTTTAGGAGTGCTGTTAGTGTGTGGGAGATAGCTATAGTTGGAGAGGTGCTTAAAACCAAAGTAAAGGAAGCCTCAGTCATAATAGCATCTGAAGGAAAGGAGACCAACCAGCCTGCTTGAGTCAGGGGAGAACTGACTTATATTAAGCAATGGGTCATTATGTTGATAAACCTATCTTCATACCTAAAACAGTTTCTTTGTGAAAAATGTATTTGCTCAATAATTATCAAGGAGACTTAATGCTGGGTTTCTCTACAGAGTTTCTTTGAAAGAGTAAAAGGCCTCTTTGGCTTCTTGTGACAAAGGTCACGACTGTGGAATAGTACTTTAAATTGGATGCACTTAGAATCTTCATATTAGAATCATATTTAATATACTATGTCAGTAATAGCTGGCCATATGCAAGAGGGTGGACATTTGTGAAATTTGGGTGGGTCTTAGAACCTTGGGACTGTTTTTTCTCTTAGGAGATCTCACTTCTGAATAGCTAGGAAATGTCCTAAGTGATAAATTTGAGACAGTCAAAATCATATGTTTTTTAGAGTTTTGTAGCACAGTCCAGGCACAGTGGCTCACATCTGTAATCCCAGCTACTTGGGAGGCTGAGGCATGGGAATCGCTTGAACCTGGGAGGTGGAGGTTGCAGTGAGCCAAGATGGCACGTCTGCACTCCAGCCTAGGTGATAGAGTGAGACTGTCTCAAAAAAGGGAAAAAAAAAATAGTTTTGTAGCATAAAAGGTCTATACAAGAAGAAGATTTAGATATCTTCCAGTGAAGGAGTGGCTAACAAGAGGCCATCAACATCTTGGATAAGGACAGAGTTTCCAGTGATAAAATATCTAAATCCTTTTTCCAAATGTGGGAGAAGAGAAGAAAGAACGGCTTTCCTTATAACCTCAAGGAATTTGCCTTAATGTAAACTGGAGAGCTATATGACTCTTGGGTTTTGTTGGGAAAGAAAATAAAGTAGATCAAAGAGCTGATTCTATAAAATATTTAGTAATATCAGGGATGCAGGCTAGGAAAGGGATGGGGTTATGAACAACAGAAAAAGAAGGTAACGCTACAGCATGTACCGTTTGAAGAGCTTATAAAAGTTGTCAGAATAAAAATGAAGTCACTTGTTTGAGAAACCATGAGAAATGGAGCCGAGGAAGGCCATGAAGGGAGAGTTCTCATGCAGGAATGCCTGATAATAAGAACTATCACAAAGGATTCTGCAAAAATCACCACCTTGCACTAAAGCCACCACAACCTTACAGAAAAGCAACTACCTTTCCAAGCCCAAACTGCTGCCACTCTTGTTATTGCTCCTTGTAGCCAAGAACAATTATTTCAAAACAAATGTGCAGTCCACCTCATTTCTCCTTTAAAAGCATCTGTCTTATTTTACCTTACTGAATATGCACATAATTAACTATGGCACTTGTATTCCCATTGCAATGCCCATTCCTGAGTAAATATAGTTTTCTTTTACAGAGTCTCTCTCTGTCAGTTATTTAGGTTGACAATCTTTAAAATCATGACTATCTCTGCTAGTTTTCTTGCATTGCCAAGTAGATGGTAATGTGATGGATTATTTAAAGTATTTCCTTGGCGGGGCATGGTGGCTCACGCCTGTAATCCCAGCACTTTGGGAGGCTGAGGGGGGTGGATCACTTGAAGTCAGGAATTCGAAACCAGCCTGTCCAACATGGCGAAACCCCATCTCTACTAAAAATACAAAATTAGCTGGGCATGGTGATGCATGCCTGTAATCCCAGCTACTCAGGAGGCTGAGGCAAGAGAATTGTTTGAACCGGGGAGGCGGAGGTTGTAGTGAGCAAAGATCGTTTCACTGCCCTCCAGTCTGGGCAACAAGAGCAAAACTCCATCTCAAAAAAATAAAAAATAAATAAAAATAAAATATTTCCTTAAGGTATCCAGGTAATTATGCATTACAATTGATCCAGAATTATGATCACTGTTATGTATGGGAGAGGAGCCTGGGTGGGCTTCAGAGATACATAGCAATTACCTTGGTTTTCCCTTTTCTTTTCAGATTTGACTAAAAAGGCTTCACCTTTTATGTGAAGCCTTATATGACTCCCTTCTCTCTGGAAAAATGAATTGCTTCCTTATTTGTGTACCACTTTAATGAATGTCTATGTTATATGTGTATTTCATGCTGTAGTCTTAATTCCTTATTCCTTTCCTCTGTTTCTTGAGGACATGACCCTGTCTTATGAAAATAGTTGTTTCTCTAGGGACTAGCAGATAACATGCTGCATAGTAGGTCTTGAGTGACTGGTTATAAAATATATGTGTAATTGGAGGTATAAATATATTAAAACAGGCTACACAAAACTTTTCTTTATGAAGTCCAAATAAACTGTGTAATTATACTACATATTTCTGTATATTAATATCCATTATTATTGTTTAAAGAATGTAATGAAAAAATATAATGGTACTTATGCTGCAGCACCTTTTTTTTTTTTTTTGAGACAGAGTTTCGCTCTTGTTACCCAGGCTGGAGTGCAATGGAGTGATCTCGGCTCACGGCAACCTCTGCCTCCTGAATTCAGGCAATACTCCTACCTCAGCCTCCTGAGTAGCTGGGATTACAGGTATGTGCCACCGTGCCCAGTTAATTTTTTGTATTTTTAGTAGTGACGGGGTTTCACCATGTTGACCAGGATGGTCTTGATCTCTTGACCTCGTGATTCACCCGCCTTGGCCTCCCAAAGTGCTGGGATTACAGGCGTGAGCCACCGTGCCCGGCCCAGCTCCTTTTATACTTAGCAGTATTTTAACTAACCAAATACATTTTCTATAAAATGCTACAATAACTAAACTACTCAAAGATTTACAGATCATTTTCATTATCTGAAAGAAAAGTAAATTGGACATAATTTAGTAATTAGTTCACAGCTCTATATTTCTCTTTTATAACTTGGGAAGTGAGTTGGTCATTGTTTATTCTACTAATATTCATTTTCAACCCTTTACCTGCAAGCTGTTTCTCATATTTCATTGCTAGCTGGCTTCCAGGTAGATTAGCTCATGAGAGATGGGGGATAGGGTGGTAGAAAAGAGGAAGAATGGAAAAAGCCAGGGTATCTCTCCTCTACTAGTTCATCCTCAGCAGCATTTTACAGTAGTGGATGGTTTCCTCTGTGGTTTTGACTTCCCAGCCTATGCTCAGTTCTAGTCCTTACCAGGCAACTCTGGCTTCTAGTCTTGGTAATAAGACTTTTACCTTTGCCACCCCAGCCTTAGACGTGGTAGTGGCTTTATACTCTTGCTTACCTTTTGGTTGCTTCGCCATCCCCTGTTGGCTTCTCAGCTCTTGCTTTGCTCATTACCTATGAACTAAATTTTCTCAATTTAATTACCTAGAATGGTTTTTGCCTGGCCCCCAACTGATAAAATAATTATATTAATTGACTATGTTTCTAATAAGTTTTGTAATTATTTTTCCCAGTTTGATATATGGAACTTAAATAATCTAGCTATTAGTGAATGATACATTATGGCAAAATATCCAGAAATAGTGATGAATCCATGGTTCTTCAGCAGAAGAAGGAAAACCCTCTTTAAATGTACATAATTCCTTTTAGTAGAGGTTCCAGAAATTTGTTCCATCAGGTCCAGATTATTTCCACGTAAGTGTTCAAGTGTCACCTATGTGCCATTGAGAAGTCAACTACTACAATGGCTTCGAAGATAGAAGTCACTGGTAGTTTGTATTGTGTCACTATTGATTCATATAAGGACTCTTAAATATTATTAGATGGAAATATACGTGAGCGTGAAAAGTGACGATGGAGAGGGAGTGATGAACCAGGACCAATTGGCAGAGCTAAAGTGACAGGGTGGCATTAAGAAATCATGCTGGGCATTGTGAGAAGAAACTCGACTTTTATTGGTTTAGTCACTTATTGAACTATGATCTGGACAGGCCAGCCTGTCAGGCTCTTCTCTCCCAATAGAGAGGATGAAATCTATTTTTTTTTAGGGAAGTAGTCATCTTGAAATGCTGAAAGTACTGACTGATAGATATACTTGATGAGAACAAAAATAATAATTATAGCACAGTATATATAGCAGGTGCAGTAAAGGGGTTTTGAAACAGGTTAGAAAAAGTAGTACTGGAATGACAAAAAGGCAAGGAATCAATAGTCACTAGCTTTTGAAAACATATAAGAGGAGAAAACTAATTTATCTCACATTTTCCTACTTAAATCTTACAGTGTGTTTCATTGTCAGTTATTGGACCATTCTTGTTTAAAACCTCACTGACATGTTTCATTCCAATGTACCCTTGGAGCACTGCTTATGATCAAATGCCATCATCTATATTATGAAGTAAGTAGTAGAGTGATTAAGTCAGAGCAAATAAAACCACTTGAGAAATTAGTCATAGAATTTTAGAGAGAATCTAGGATGCCCAACTCCTACATAAATTGCTTGTGGTTTCCTGGTATACAACCGGTTGCCAACATTTATAAATGTTGTTCCTTTATAATCTCCATTCTACATGGTCTTGTCGCTTTGATAGTTGACTAAATTATTTTGTATGTGTGCGCCAAAATTTAGTTGCTTAAAAAATGATTTTTTTCTCAAACTCAGGGAGTTAATAAACCTTTTAAATGACCATCTACAGAGAATATTGTTTTATTTTCTAGTGTTTCTTTCAAAAAGAAATTTTGTTTAACAACCATGTCTAATATAATTTTATTGCTGGGTTGAACCACTTATAGTTTGGATCTTTTCTAGCTCTAGAATTCTGTGAATATTAGTTTAGCATAGATAAACGTTGCTTTTGATGGAGTGGGCTGCTGGGAGTGAAAATGGAGAGGGATCATAATAGTGGCATAGTGCTTTAATATTAAGTTGGAATTTACTAAGCGAAAATAATGTCTTTAAACCCCACAGCAAAATGATTATGAAAATTTTTTCACTGAAAATGGATGGATTTTTCCCCATTGTTTTAGTGACAATTCTGAGTAATAAATAATTTTCTATCTTTTTCAAGCCACAGTAATAACAGTTATACAATATGACTGTTACACTAACTTGCCTAGTTCTAGGCTACAATTTGTAAAATAGAAAGTGCTAACAATATCTAGGAATACAGGCATACACAACTATCCTTGCTTGCTGATCATGGGAATTAAGTTTTGGGAAATATGATTTAGAATTGCTTAATTGCAAGGAAAGAAAATGCAAGACACATGTGTATATCTATCTGAAGTCTTATCACAAAGTGTTTTCCTGTGATGGGTTTAGGTCAGATCAGGTAAATTAGCCGTAATGGTCACCAAATTCAGAACTGGCGTTGGAGGAGTACTAGATTTGGAGAATTGGTGTAAAAACATAGAAATGCCTTGCATTTCATTCGTTCATCAAGACAATTCAGGAATACAGATTTAAGGGAGTTTCTCAGGGCCATTATTAAGGTAATTCTCCAGAATCAAGGAGAACTCAACACAGCAGTCAAGCTGTATAAGCAAAACAGCTCAATATTATGAACATAGGCTGAATGTTCAACTGGATATCCACCCACAATTATATTGCCAGTTAAATTCCAGTTTATAAATCACTTTCTAATTAATTCAAGAAATGAAAACCATATTTCTTTTTCTTTTCTAGTTTTCTGCCTTCGTATCTTTCTCTCTCATTGTCATTAACTCCTGGGTTTTCTCTCAGTTTCACTTCCCCAACACAGTACAGATTGAACATGCAAAGCATACAACTCAAAAGAAAGATGAAACTTGGGTCACTAGTCTCCAGGCTCACTTTGTTAATCTGCCTCAATTGCCATCACTAATTAAGGTGAAGAGATGACTCCTACCATAGCTATTACTGCTTTTGCTGTATTTAAATGCATTTGAGAGCCTTACATAATTTTTTCCACTTGAACTTATTACTCAATGTACAATCTAGGATTTCTAGAATTTTGGGACTTTTTAATAGATAAAAAATGTCTTCCATATAAAAGAATGTATACAATACATAGGCAGAATTTAAAATGTAATAAAATAAATACCTACGTACTCAATACTGAGTTATAAAATAGACTAATAACAATACTTTGGAAACTGCTTTAATAATCCTCTCAAAGGATTACTTTGCCTCTATATATAATCTCTATTCTGACTAGTATATTAAAATTATTCATTCATGTATGTCCTTAAAGCATAAAGTATTCAAGTTTTTGTGTTTTAATAATTAAACAGAATGATAGTGTGTATACTTTTATAATTTGCATTTTTTTCTCAACAGATTTTAGATCTATTCACACTGGGCATACATAGCTATAGTTTATTTAATTTTTGCATGGTTTAGGTTTAGTGTACCATTGCTTGCCTTTATCCAAAAAATGTATTATCCATGTGTCACCCATAACCTTTGAATTATTGCAAAGTTTTTTTTCTATTACAAACTGTGTTAATATTCCATTGCTCATAACAAATGATCACAAACGTAGAAACTTAAATAGCACAAATGCATTATCATGCAATTTTGTGAGTTACGAGTCTGCATGGCTCAGCTGTGTTTGTTTGCTTAGGGTCTCACAAGGCATTGATTACGGCTGCGGTCTCCTCTGAGCCTCGAGCTCCTCTTCCAAGCCCATTTAAGTCACCTGTAGAATTCATTTCTTTAGAGCTCTAAGATCCCACTTTCATGCTGCTTGCCAACTGGGCACCTTTCACAACTGTGGGGACCACTTACTATTTTCTGCCATGGAAACCATTCTGCAACCATAAATGTTTGCTTATTCAAGTACAGCAGAAGAAATACCTTTAACTCTGAATCTCTCCCTACCTCATTTAAGACCTCTCTGATTATATCAGGCCCACCAAAAGCAAAATTCCTTCTGATTAACTCAAAGTCAACTAATTAATTACCTTAAGTGCCTCTGCAAAATTTTTTCTGCAATAAAACATAATAGAATCATAGGAGTGAGATATCATATTCAGCAGTCCTACTCACTCTCAAGGTGAAGGTGGGATATTATATGGGATATGTCCACCAGGGGGTGAAAATCACGAGGACCATTTTGAAATTCTGCTTACCATATGAACAATTTTGTAAATAAAATTGTTTGTATTTTAAATTTTATTTACAAATATTTTATTTAAAAATATTCAGGAATATTCCTGAATATTCCTCTTGTTTTATTTCTTATAACTCTTAAGCATTCCTTGTATGTTTTCCAACTCTATCAAGTTAGGCTAAACAGTTTCCAAAAAGGTTTTATCACATATAGTTGCAATTAAGATATGAGAATTTATCTCATATACATTCTCACAAACAATTTGAATTTATATTTAAATGCAATTTTATACTTTTTTTATTTGCCTTACCATCATTTGTTAAACTTATTTCTAGACACCTTATTTTTATTGATATTGTAATTTTTGAGTTACATTTTCTAATAGTTTTATATATTAATATATTTGATGGACTCAATAAATTCTTACTTTTATAAATTCATATGTAAGGGTTTTCTCAGATTTACTATGTGGACAAATATGTAATTATTTTTCTTTTCTCACCTTATATTTTACATTGTATTTAAATGTAAATTCCAGATCTCACCAGACTGCATCCTGCCATAAGGTTCAAAAGCTGCTGTGTCTCTTCTTCTCTGAAGCCCCTTTGATGTCCCCTGCCTGCAGCCAAGACCATGGTTGGTTTCTGCTGAGTTCAAGCCATTGGCATTGACCCCACTGCCCTTAGCAGCAGATCAGCTGCACATTTGCATGTGCCCCAGGCACAAACTTTACCACCTGCAGCTACTATAGCTGAGAGCCACCTCCAACAAGGCAAAAGCATGACCTGCCCTCACCAGCAGAAATGCTGCACATTTGTAAGGGCCCTAATAATAGGACATCCCACTTGAAAGTTCCACTTGGGGCTGATATCTCAGCTACTTGTCTATGGCTGCTGCCACTGAAAGCCATGCCACCCTCTCTAGTAGCTGCACTCATTACCAGAGTACTTTAAAATAGGTCTTCCTCAACAAGCCCCACATCCCATCCAGTACCTGAGCACATTGTACAGGAATCTGGGGATCACCCAGCCCAGTCCACCACCATTGGCACCTAAGTACACCTCTCAGGGGCCTGACATTGGGCCCACCCAACCTACTGTTGCCACCATAGTTGGCATCCACCTGAAAACAGCGCCTGCAGGCCTGGAGACTGGCCCATCCAATTTATCAAAGCCACCAAAACACCAATACAGACCACTTGGGATTAAGAGGGTTGTTCCGTCACTCCTCCTGCGATTGCCCTTACCATGTCTACTGCCTAGAGGCCCAAGTACCCACCCACCTGTCCAGCCCACCACTGCCATTATTGGCACATGAAAAGCCTCCCAGAGGCCCGATAATTAATCTGCTTGGACAGGTTAACATTGATGCTAGTGTATGCTGCCCTGGGATCAAAAAATAGGTATGCTCAACCTGCTTTGCCACCACTGGGAACTATAAAATGGGTTACCTGGCATCCCAATTCCCAGCAAAACTCTCACACAGACACCACTAACAACCACACCCTCAGCTACTGAGGAAATTGCAGACACCATCGATGCTGATTATAGCCAAATAAATCATACAGAGACTACACTATTCCATGCACCCAGAATCCAAGCTAAAATGTCCCACAGAACCAACACCATAGATACATCTACAGGAAAATATCATTCCCTATGAAAGCAAATGCAAAAAGTTGGAAGAAGTGACTATTATACCAAGTGCACATATATCAACATAAGGATAGAAGAAATATGAAAAATCAAGGAATATGACAACCCCAAAAGAAGATAATAACTTTCCAGAAAGAGATTTCAATGAAAAATTTTCAAGTCCTGAAAAAATAAATCAAAATAATATTAAATGATAAGGTTTATCTGTGTCTCTACCCAAATCTCATATTAAATTGTAGCTCCCATAATTCCCATGTGATGTGGAAGGGATCCAGTGGGAGATAATTGAAGCACGGGGGCGGGTCTTTTCCATGCTATTCTCATGACAGGGGATAAGTCTCATGAGATCCAATTATGAAGGAGAATTTCCCTGCAGAAGTTCTCTTCTCTTGTCTGCCTTCGTGTGAGAGATGCATTTCACCTTCCACCATGATTGTGATGCCTTCCTAGCCATGTGAAACCTTGAGTCTATTAAAACTTTTTCTTTTGTAAATGGCTCAGTCTTAGGTCTGTCTTTATCAGCAGCCTGAAAATGATCTAATACAAGTGGTAAAAGTGGGCATCCTTGTCATGTTCTGAATCTTAGAAGAAAGGCTTTCAGTTTTTCACCAATCAATATGATACTATCTGTGAGTCTGTTATATAAGATTTTTTTTTTTTTTTTGAGATGGAGTCTCACTCTGTCACCAGACTGGAGTGCAGTGGCACGATCTCTGCTCACTGAAACATCAACCTCCATCTCCTGGGTTCACACAATTCTCCTGCCTCAGCCTCTCAAGTAGCTGGGACTACAGATATGTGCCACCATGCATGCCCAGCTAATTTTTGTATTTTAGTAGAGATGGGAGTTTCATCATGTTGGCCAGGATGGTCTTGATCTCTTGATCTCATGATCCACCCACCTTGGCCTCCCAAAGTGCTGGGATTACAGGTGTGAACCACTGCACCTGGCTTGTCTATATGATTTTTATTATGTTGAGGTATGTTCCTTCTATACCTAGTTTTTTTTTTTGAGGACTTTTTTTTATCATAAAGAGATATTGAACTTTATCAAATGCTTTTACATAATCAATAGAAATTATATGGTTTTTATGCTTCATTCTGTTAATATGATGTATCACATTGATTGATTTTTGTATGTTGAACCACCCTTGCATCCCAAGGATAAATTCTACTTGGTGATAATAATAATCTTTTTAATGTACTGTTAAAATTGATTTGCTAGTATTTTGTTGAGGATTTTGGCATCAATATTTATGAGAGATATTGTCTTGTAGTTTTATTTTTTGATGTGTCTTTGTCTGGTTTTGATATCAGGGTAATATTGGCATTGTAGAAGGAGTTTGGAAGTATTTTCTTCTCCTCTGTTTTTTGGAATAGTTTGAGTAGAATTGGTACTAGTTCTTTAAATCTTTGGTAGAATTCAGCAATGAAGTCATTGGGTCTGAAGCTTTTCTTTACTGGGAGACTTACTATGTCTTTGATCTTGTTACTTGTTGGTCTGTCCAGGTTTTGGGTTTCTTCATAGTTTAATCTTGATAGGTTGAACCATGTGTCTAGATATTTGTATATTTCTTCTAGATTTCCCAGTATATTGACATATAGTTGCTCATAGTAGCTACTAATGATTCTTAGAATTTCTCTGGTATCAGTTGTAATGTGTCCTTTTTCATCTCTGATTTTATTAATTTGGATCTTCTCTCCTTTTTTCTTACAGTGGCTAAAGATTTGTCAATTTCTTTTAACTTTTCAAAAAACTAACTTTGTTTCACTGATCTTTTGTATCACTCCCTTCCTTTCAATTTTATCGTTTTTTTGCTCTGATTTTTATTATTTTTTTTCTTTAGCTAATTTTGTGTTTGGTTTGCTCTTGATTTTCTAGTTCTTTAAGATGTGTTTTGTGGTTGTTTATTTGAAGTTTTTCTTCTTTTCTTATGTAGGCACTTATAGCTATAAAGTTCCCTCTTGGTACTGCTTTTTCAGTATTCCATAGGTTTTGGTATGCTGTTTCCATTATCATTTGTTTCAATAATTTTTTTCCATTTTCTTCTTAATTTCCTAACTGACTCACTGATCATCAGGAGCAGATTGTTTAATTTTCATGTATTTGTAGAGGACCCCAAATTCCTCTTGTTATTAATTTCTATTTTTATTCCATTGTGCTCAGAGAAGATGCTTGATATTATTTCAAGGTTTTTTGGATGTTTTAAGACTTGTTTTGTGATCTCACATATGCTCTATTCTTAAGAATAATCCATGTGCTGAGGAAAAGAATGTGTATTCTGCAGCTTTGGAATGAAATGTTCTACAAATATGTATTAGATCCATTTGGTCTATAGTGCAAATTAAGTCCACTGTTTCTTGTAGGCAACAGATTAATGGATCTTACTTCTTTATCCATTCAGCCAGTTTACGTCTTTTAATTAGAGGGTTTAGTCCATTTATAGTCAATGTTATTATTGATAAGTAAGGACTTACTCCTGCCATTTTGTCATTTGTCATCTGCTTGTTTTGTGGTCTTCTCTTTCTTTTTTCTTTCCTTCCTGTCTTATTTTTTGTGAAGGTAATTTTCTCTGATAATATGTGCTTTACTTCTCCTAGTGCACTGAAATGCTTTCCACACCATGCCACTGCTGCTGGGAAGTAGGGATGGAGTGCCAGCTATTTCTTTTTCTTTCTTTTTTTTTTTTTTTCTTTTTTCAGATGGAGTCTCACTTTGTTACCCAGGCTGGAGCGCTGTGGTGCAATCTCAGCTTACTGCAACTTCCACCTCCCGGGTAAAGTGTTTCTCCTGTTTCAGCCTCCTGAATAGCTGGGATTACAGGTGCATGCCACCATGCCTGACTAATTTTTGTATTTTTAGTAGAGACAGAATTTCACCATGTTGTTCAGGCTGGTCTCAAACTTCTGACCCTGTGATCTGCCTGCCTTGGCCTCCCAAAGTGCTGGTATTATAGGTGTGAGTCACCAAGCCTGGCTGCCAGCTATTTCAAGACTGTTTTTTTACTTCTTTTGTCACTCTTGCAGTGATATAAAGTTTGAAACCAGGTACTGTGAGTGCTCACCTGGGTTTTGATTCTTCTAAAGAATCAAACCTTGTTGTAGATAGTTGTTAAACTGTTGTCTTTGTGAGAGGGACAATTGGCAACTTCTACTTTAACATCTTGTTCTGCCTCTCCAAAGACATATTGACTAAAAGAAAAGAGATTACTAAAAATATAATTCACACAAACAGAAACCAAGAGTGAGCAAATTAGCTCTACTTATATCAGATAAAACAAATTTTAAGTTAAAGAAAATTTAAAAATACAAAAAAGGTCATTATATAATGGTAAAGGTATCAATGCAGCAGGAGGTTATAACAATTCTAAACATATATTCTACTAACACTGTACAACTCAAAACAAATATTATTAAATCTTAAGGGAAGGGAGACTCAAACTCCATAATATAATACTTCAAGATTTAAACATGCCAATCTCAGAATTAGATCACCTAGACAGGAAATCAATATAGAAGAAGCATTGGCCCCAGCATCATGCAGTATAACCAGGTAAAAACCTGTACATTTACCCATGTACCCCCTGAATCTAAAATAAAAAATGAAATTATAAAAATAAATAAACAAGGAAATAAAAAATAGACTGCATTTCAGATAAAATCAGTCTAACAGACTCTTAGATATTACTTCCTCCAACAGCTACAGAATATATGTGTTCTTCCAATTGGCACATGAAAAATTATCCAAATAGACTGTATTTTAGGCTACAAAACAAGTCTAACCAAAGTTTTAAAAATCAAAATTATATCAAGTATCTTCTCAGACCACAATGAAATAAAACTAGAAATAAATAACTGAAGAAACTTTGGAAACTCTACAAATACATAGAAATTAAACGTGATCCTGAATGACCATTGGGTCAAGGAAGAAAATAAAGAAAATTAAAAATTTCTAGAAACAAATGAAAACAGAAACAAAATATGTCAAAATTTATAGCAAAAGGAGTACTATGAGAAATGGTTAAACCAATAAATATTTGCATCAAAAGAAACCAATTTCAAATAAGGAATTTAACAATGCAGCTCAAGGAACTGGAAAAGAAAAGGCAAACCAAACACAAAATTAGCAAAAGAATAATAAAAATCAGAGCAGAATTAAACAAATAGAGAGTAAACATGCAAAGTTTCAACAAAAAGAAAAGATAAAATCTGTAATTCATTAACTAGACTAACAAAGAAGAGAAAAAACAAAAAATAAACAAAATCAGAAACAAAAGAGACATTACAACTAATACCACGGAAATACAGAGGATAGTCAGCAAATATTATATAGTAATGCACAGGAAAACCCAGAGGAAATGCAATAATTCCTGGACACATACAGCCTACTAAGTTTAAATGAGAAAAAAAATAGAAAACTTAAACTTGAATAGACCAATAACAAACAATGAGATTGAATTAGTAATAAAAAGTCTTTCATCAATGACAACTTCAAGACTGAATTCACTTCAGCAATTCACAATTCAACAGTAAAAAAATAAATAACCTTATTCTAAAATGGGAAAAGGGATGAATAGACATTTCTGAAAAGAAGACATGCAAACGGGCAACAAGTATACAAAAAAATGCTCAACATCACTAATCATCAGGGAAATTAAAATGAAATCACAATGAGATATTATCTCACCCTGGTTAGAACGGTTTCTTTGTCCATTTTGCATTGCTATAAAGGATTACCTGAGACTGGGTAATTTATAAGAAAAAGAGGTTTATTTGGTTCACAGTTCTGCAGGGTGTACAAGAATCATCTACTGGCATCTGCTTCTGATATAGACCTCAGAGAGCTTCTAATCATGGCAGAAGGTGAAGGGGGAGCAGGCCTGTCAAATGGTGAGAGAGCAAGATAGAAACAGGACAAGTGGCACACTTTTTAAAATAACCAGCTCTTGTGTGAACTAATATAGCAAGAACTATGTTAGCATTATATAACTCATTACCTTGGGGACATCACCAAGCCATGCATGAGGGATCTGTCCCCACGACCTAAACACCTCCCACTAAGCACCACTTCCAATACTGGTGATTACATTTTAATGTGAGATTTGGAGGGAACAAATGTCCAAACTATATCAGATGACTTTATTATTAAAGAGACAAAAAAATAGCAGATTCTGGAAAGTAAGCAGAGAAAAGGAATCCCTTACACATTTATACACTGAGAGTATTTAAAATAGTATGGCCTATGGAAAGCAGTATTGAGATTTCACAAAACAAATCTAAAAATAGAACTACCATACATTCCTGCAATCCCACTACTGGAATTTATACAAAGGAAATCAGTTTATCAAAGAGATATCTGCACTCTTATATTTATTGTTGCACTATTCACAAAGGAAAAATATGGAATGAACCTAAGTGTCATTAACAATAAAGAAATTGTGGTACCCGGCCATATCCATAATGGAATACTATTTGTTCATAAAATGAATGAAATCATGTTATTTGCAGCAACATGTATGAAAATGGAGGTTATTATGTTGAATGAAATAAGCCAGGCACAGGAAGACAAATACCACACATTCTCACTCATATGTGGAAACTAAAAAGTTATTCTAATGGAGGCATAGAGTAGGATACTAGATACCAGAGCACTGGATACATGTGTGTGGAGTAGGGGAGGACAGAGAGAAATTGATTAATGGGTATAAGCATCAGTCAGAGGGATTATGTTCTGTTTTTAGCAGAGCAGGGTCACTATCATTAACAACAATGTATTACCTATTTTGAAATAGCTAGAAGAGAGAACATAAAATGTTCCCAACACATAGAAATCATAAATACTCAATGTGATGGATATCCACATACCCTGACTTGATCATTTCACACTGTATTTATGTAACAAAATATAGCTATACCCCATAATATAGACAAATATCTATCAATAAATTAAAATACTTTTTAAAAACCTCAATAGGAACTTCTGGGTAAATTGTCAATACATTTTTTTTCATGGATTCTTGCTCTTGTTACTCAGACTGGAGTGCAGTGGTGCAATCTTGGATTATGGCAACCTCCGCTTCCGAGGTTCAAGAGAGTCTTCTCCCTCAGCCTCCCGAATAGCTGGAATTACAGGTATATGCAACCATGCCCGGCTAATTTTGTATGTATAGTAGAGATGGGGTTTCTACGTGTTGGTCAGGCTGGTCTCAAACTCCCGATCTTAGGTGATTCACGCACCTTGGCCTCCCAAAATGCTGGAATTACAGGCATGAGCCACTGTACCCGGCCATAATTTTAAAATACATATAACAAGCAAAGACAAGCAAAGGACCTTGAGCAACCAAAACACCTCTGAAGAAAAATAAAAATATTTAGAGCAATAACCTACCAGGTATCAAAATTTATTATTAGGGATAAAGAGAGTCATTTTATAGTAAAAAAAAAAAAGGTAAATTCACCAATAGGAAGGACAATTCCAAGGGTTTACACACTTAATATACTATAGCTTCAATCTTTCTTTTCTTTTTCTTTCTTTTTTTTTTTAGAAGGGGTCTTGCTCTGTGGCCAGGCTGGAGGCTGGAGTGCAGTGGCACAATCTTGGCTCACTGCATCCTCCGCTTCCCATGTTCAAGCAATTCTCCTACCTCAACCTTCCGAGAAGCTGGGACTACAGGTGCGCCACCATGCCCAGATAATTTTTGTATTTGTAGTAGAGATGGGGTTTCACCATGTTGGCCAGGATGGTCTCGATCTCTTGACCTTGTGATCTGCCCTCTTCAGCCTTCCACAGTGCTGGGAGTGCGTGAGCCACGGTGCCAGGCCAATATCTTGCTTTCAATAATAAATGGAACAGAACGAATGTAGGCAGAAAATCAGTCAGGATATAAAACACTTGAACAACACTGACAACTAACATTACCTAACTAAAATTTATAGAGCAGTTTATAACCAAAACAGCAGAATTCACAGCTCACATATTATACTTACCAAAATAGACCATCTTTGGGGCTATAAAGTAAGTCAATATATTTAAGGATATTCAAATTGTACAATATATATTCTCTGACAGTAATGGAATTAAAATGGAAATCAATGAGAGAAAATACTGGAAAATACCAAAAAATCAGGTTTCCTTTTTTTTTTTTAATTGCATTTTAGGTGGTTTCCTTTTTTTAAAAAAAAAAATTTTTTTTTTTTAGACAAAGTCTTGCTCTGCCTCCTCGGCTGTAGTGCAGTGGCACAATCTTGGCTCACTGTTATCTCTGCCTCCTGGATTCAAGCAACTCTCATGCCTCAGCTTCCTGAGTAGCTGGGATTACAGGCAGGCAACACCACGCCTGTCTAATTTTTGTATTTTTAGTAGAGACAGGACTTTGCCATGTTGCACAGGCTGGTTTCAAACTCCTGGCCTCAAGTGATCCACTCACCTCTTCCTCCCAAAATTTTGGAATTATAGGTGCAAGCCACTGCACCTGGCTGAAATATTATGAAATTATATAACACACTACCAAATAACTATGGGTCAAAGAAGAAATTGCAAGAGCAATTAGTATTTTAAACAAAAAAAGTGAAACATTTTTTAAAGCAATAGCTGTCAATGAAATTTGTAATGTTATTTTTCTTAAATTGGGTGGTAGTTTGACAAGTGTTTATTTTGTTATTATGCTTTATAGCTTCACTATATTATACATCAGTTGTATAAAATATACAATTAAAAGATAAATGGAAATCTAAAATATACATGGAAAATATTATTGTAAGAAACACCAGATAGGCATAATCCAAAATAGATTTGGGATAGATATATCCATGTGATAGATTTCAAGTTTCAAGGAAAAGATGGCATTAAATCTTAGGCTACATTATGTGAAGTCACTCGGTTGATTGTTTTTTCTTCTAAAAACATGTGATCTTCAATAACACTAAAAAAAATGTTACAACCCATGCTTATTGCATGTTCAGGTTCTCTGCAGTCCTTGTCAAAGAATGAAAAATAAAGATAGGTGCTTCATGCAGTTGCTTGTATCATCAGGCAGAAAGAAAGAAAGAAAGAGAGAGAGAGAGAGACAGAAAGAAAGAAAGAGAGAGAGAGAAAGAAAGAAAGAGCGAGAGAGAGAAAGGAAGGAAGGAAGGAAGGAAGGAAGGAAGGAAGGAAGGAAGGAAGGAAGGAAGAAAGACACCATAGCATCTGCAATTCCCTGTTTTAATTACATCCTGAAGTAACAGCCGCAGCTGAGCCATTTATTGCTTCTGTAAACAAGAGCCAGTAAAGGGAAGCTGTTTCTCCCTATGTCATTTCTGAAAGGCAAATATAATGGCGACAGCATAGGAGAGATGTTGGACTGACCTCTAATATAACAAAATCAACTTAAGAGAGGCAATATGTTCGGCATCTAGTAGTGAGGGACACAGGGGTGGGAACAGAAACTAACCATGACACAGAAGCAATAAGACCCAGATTTCACTGGAGTCACCAACCCAAGTGCAATGTCAACAAAATATCAGCAACTAATTCAGTTTCTTTCTTAATAAAATAAATATTTTATTCTAAAATAATTTTAATTTTTATGAGATTAAAAAAATTTTATCTATGTATGTAGAAAATTTTCCTGAGATGGGGTTCTTAATACAAACACATATTCAATTATTCTTAACTTACTGGATTTGTTTTGGAATTAATAGTTAAATGTTTTTATCATTGGTAATTTAAAATAATTATACATGTGACCAAGATCACCTGGCTCCTAAAACCAAAGACATTTACAGAAAAGTTGGCGTGTGCCTCACAACAATAGGATGAAGGAATCCTGCTCACCATGGCAAGAATAACGTTAAATACTTAACAAATTTAATAAAAATATGCATGACCTTTATGAAGAAAACTAAAAAGTATTACTGAGGGACATCAAAAGGATTTGAATAACTAGAGAAACAGACAATACTCTTCAATGGGAAAGGTACTGTAAGAATATTTCTTTTCCAATTAACATAATCTGTACAGATCTAATAAAAATCTGTATACACACACACTTATACATACATATATATACATATATTCTTTAAATAGCTACCATTTCCCCAGGCAACCACTTACTATGACAAAATGTTGGTTGCTCAAAATCATTTTGTGCATTTTCCTAATTCTTGAATATTAAAGTACAAATAATTCTTCCTTTTTCCCCAGTATTGACATCCTGTTCAGAAAAGATGATATCATAGAGATTGTATAGGAGATTATTATTACCGGCTACAGAATAGATCTTTAAATACTTTTCATATTGACTCTAACCCTGAAAAATGAGGTTTTCATAATATTAAATGGGACCAGAAAAGCGTGTCAGATTTATAAAACTGTTTGTCCTACAAAACTATGTAAGTCGAAGATTTTTGAAGAGGGTTGGCTTGAAGCACTTCATTATTTTGAATGCTGGATTAATGTTCATAGTTTTCCGTTGCTCCTTTTTATTGGGGGAGGGTGTCTCAAATGCAGTATATTATGCCACGGTTTTGTCATGTATCAGTAATGATATTAACAGTATAATGCTAAACAGGTTCTGAGGAAATGAAGAGGGAAAAAAATGACTTACTATATTTACCCTGAAACAAGATTCAATCTGCCACTGTATTTAATGCTATGTTTTTCATTATCTCACAAGCATATGTTGAAACCACTACAGATGATGAAGTTAGCTGCTGGGCAGAGTTATCATCAATGCTTTCCATCTTTATTTTAATACGAGGAATGAGTAAATTGTTTGTGACCTTTGTCAAGGGCTTCGTGAAAGACAAGAAACCTAACCACAAAATCACTAGCCTGGAGCCCTACTGAATATTCAAAACCACCTTTCCTAGAATAAAATATTTTATAACAAAGCCATTGTTTCTGATAGAGCTGTGTCTCAAACAAAAGGTCCAAAAGCTAAAGGTAAAATCTATTTTCATTCTTTCTTTAAAAATACTGTGTGTGTAATGTCTGTTGGTGGTCATGTTGAAGTTTTAGGAAAAACACATTTCTTTAAGATCAATGCAGCCTTAAAAATAATAATGCCTACCTCTACTTAGGAACTGGAATCTTAGTTAACCTTGACACCTTTATAAACCAAGCCTCCTGGGTCAGGTGGAATCACCATATTAAATATCAATAGCGACATATCTTGAGAGCTTACCACTGTTTTGCTAAATTCTATGCAGTCATTTCATATAATCCTTACTCTGGAGGTAAATCCTGTGATCAACTCAATTTTATAGATTGGTTAACTGCGCAGAAGAAGACAGAGTAACTTACCTAAGATCATCCAGTCTGTGTTGGAATTCAGTTGATGAAACTAAGACTTAAAGCATCTGACTCTGGGTGCCCAGTTACAGCTCTATGCTGAAGGGAACTGGTATTGCCAAATTGCTTTCTTTTGAAATAATCTTAGTTATTATATAAATGATGTATCTTGTATTTCTGGCTATTAAAAACATAAGAGAGTGTGAGAAACCTTTGGATTCCTAGGTGTACACTGGATTATCTTCCTAAATTGTAAAAATAGTGGATTGCCTACGTTTCCCTGCAGGAAGATTGCATTTCCCTTCTAGAGTTATCATAACATATCTCTATCTTGAAAATATTTTAGACATATATTTGGTCCTATCTGTAGACAAATATACTTTAGTTACTATTCTCTGTATTGCCATTACATAAACAAGAAGTCTAAACTAATATGGACGGGTGTGTGTCAAGTTCAATTCCCTCATTCCTGAGTGGAAAAGGGCCAATGCAGCTTGACTTGTAACCCTAGGTATAGGATGGTTTAATTCACAATAAAAAGAAAATAAACTTTCCCAACCACCCTCTTGCCTGTTAATTGTGGGAAGATCACTGAAGATAATACAATTAACATGTGAACTTTTGGTCTTCTGTGCTCACTCGCTAAATTTTGTTTTTGTATTAGCAGTTTCCCCTTAAGAGTAGTATACTTTTCTAAAACTCTCCTAAAGTCATTTGTGATGAAAAAACAAATTGATTAGAAAAAAAAATCAGTTCTCTATCTTAAAGTCACACTGTTATTCACAAGCAATTTTTAAGTCTTGATTATGAAGAAATATTTAACAGTGATGGTGCGTTAAATTGTCTTTCTTTAGACAAATGCTACACAAAGTGGTTAGCCAACTGGCGACAGTATCTAAACAGTTTGTTACCAGTTCATCATGCACAAGGGAGCTTGCCCCAGAATGTAAAATAACACAT